TATTTGTGTTTCAATATCAGTGATTTAAATAACTATTGTTCTCTGTTTTTTACATGCGTCTATCATCTGAATGATTGTTTTTCTTTTGTTTTCCGTTCTCTAATACTCAGATTAAAATAAAAGTTATAGTTTGATATTATTTCCACTTTTGAATTCTCGTTATCATTCCCAGTTCCAATTAATAAGATTAAAAACAACATTTTCATACTTAAAATCGAATATTTCTTTTATAATTTCTACGCTTTATAATATTTTTATAGGTGTTTATTTTTCTATTCATTAGAATTTAATATTATTAAACATTAAATTTTTGTCAACTGATGCATATATAGGTATTTTATTGCTTTAATGAGAGCACCGGTAGAGTTACGTACCAACTCAGTAGGTATCCCTTGTAAATAGAGGTGTCACTTTTAGTGACAAAAATTATTTAATTGCATCAAGAAATAAAGCAAACTAGAATTACAAAAGATATCATACACTTAAAATTTCCTAGTTCTGTGAGAATGGAAGAATGAATTTTTCTTACAACACCAAAATGATATTGATGAAAAAGACTAGCTACTTGTCCTTAAAACTTCATACATCCAAAACTATAAAAGTACCATGTTTAAATTTTAACTTCAGCGGCTTAGAGAAATGTTGAGTGTGATGAACGTTTTTCATTTCAAAGAAGAAGAATTTCACAAGAGAATGGAATTTGAATTTCTTTAAATATCTTTTACAGCTGAGAATTGTGGTTCACATTTATTACATTTATATTATGAGAGCTCATAGTGTTGAAACATATCTAAGTTTGGTTTGGTCTGCATCTTGTAATAACATAAGGTAAGTAAGTACATTTATTACAAGATGCGAACAAATTATTTTATTGGTTAGAAGATGTGATTAGTACTTTTTATTAAAAGTAGTAATTTTCAAAGTAAAATTTTGTGTTACAATTTCAAGACGTTATTTGTAAATGTTTCGTTGTGTCATTATAACGTTTAACAACTACATATATGACTCATGACGATGCGTTGTTATATAAATACGATGCGTTTTCAGTAGGAATCTAAATGAAACTTGAAACTCATTGCAAAATTATATTATTTGAATTATTCTTTAATCGAAAAAGAAAACTTTTTGTATAGCCTTTTATTGGTAGAAAACAACAAAGCAATTTGTTGAATAAAAATATACTAAAAATAATTAATTAAAGTACTTCTATTTCGGTGTAGCGTGAAACGCTTTCATTTTGATTATTTGGTTTTGGTCTTAACATGAATGTAGAAAGCGGATAAAGCATATGATAGCACAAAGGAGACCTTTATACGTCATTTAGCTACGATTTCTCGCCTATGCTCTGTGCGTCTCTCTCGATCTATATTAGTATGTGAGAGATAAATGAACATAAAATAAAATATGGAGATAGTGAATATTCATACACACGTCAACGGGTTTAGTTAATAAATTTTTAAAGACTTAATTAATTCTGTTTCAAGTTTTATTGATATATTTATTTAATAAAATTAAATGGATTTGTGAAATTTATAGGTAGGATGTGGTGGTTTGTAAGCTGTACAGATTGTCCGTTATAAAGCTAGCAACGAACCTGACTTCCCAGATTTGCAGCATGAATCTGAATTTAAGATTATGCTACTTTGGTGGCCCAGTTTATAAAATGGAATCACGACATAAAAATAGGCTCACGAAGAAGTAACTGATGTTTTGCAGTTATCAAAAGATGTTAGTAGGTAATCTAAATATTGATCTTAGTTTTTCTGGTTATTAAAACTTTGAAAATTATGATCGAATGAACAACATAATTATTATTTATAATGAGAATAATTAAAATGAGTAGTTTCTGCAATAATAAGTATAGCATAACTTTATCTACCCCGTTTGAACTTTATATAATACCTAAGTTCAAACGGCCGCGGCGCCAGAAAGATGCCATGTTCGCTACACTCTTCTGCTGCAACCTTGCAGTTTTCTCAATAAGCTAATGTTATGATTATAATGCAATCGAGAACCAAATGTTTTTGGTAGTATCCGAAATTACAATATTGCTATAAAAACTTAAATTTAATGATTCAATTATGTGTAGGTACATTGTACGTATATTCTATATACCGATGAACTGATTGCAAAACCGCACTATACCTAAATTCAATAAATATGAAGACTAAAACAACTTTTCACTAAAATAATAAAAGATAATGTATTATTATAGAAATTATTATATTGTTGCTGTTATGTTTGTCTTATACCATTGCCAATATAAGTATTATTATATACTTTTATTTCAGATTAAAAAGCTACCGACTCGGGAAAAAATGCACAAGATTGCAATTTTTTTTAAATATATATTGTTACTGAAATTTTAATAAAAGTATTGCCAAATGTTAGGATATAAAAGAATGAATGGAGAGGAAACGAATCCATAGTTATCAATGAGAATTTATAAAAAGGACAAAAAATATCCGAATTAAACAAAATCTAATTTGAAGTATATAAAAATAGCTTTCTTCTAGTTTCCAATATTTTTAAATATTAATAAATGAAAAGAATGAAAATCATAATGTTTTCGTAAGGAGGTATCTTTATTATTGGCAAATAATCAATATTATTCATTTATTATAATTAAGTAGGTACCCTACTGTTTGAGTATCTACAATAAGAGAAGGCGTTTTTTAAATAGCTCTTCAAAAATATAAAAACGCAGAGGAGCCACCAATGATACAGGTTATATTAGTGCTTGTTTCCCGATGAACCGAAGAAATATATCCGCAATGACTTAGCGAATTTACCCGTTTAAACTTTAACTACATACTGACAACACAATATGTATTAAATGAAACAACGGTAAAATACACTGAAATTATTGATATTAAAAATTACAAATATATTGTATTATATATTATTACAAATATATTGTATTAACTTCGATACCTATAGCTGAGTGTTATATCCGATGTTGGCATCAATATTAAACTGCACTCTGCAGATATGTAGGTGTATACGTCATTTATGGGATTTATAGCACTTTTACATGATGCCTACCTTGTTAATTTTACACTTATTTATCCAAAACAAGAACCATTTCTCTCAATTAAGAGAAGTTACCTTGTTTATCGTATATTTATTAAAGTTATGGTTGTCATGTGATTATGTAAACTAAACAATGGAGAAAAATTATAATGCACACCAATAGTAAAATAAATAAAGTAATATATGTATATTCCAAATAATATTAAAGATTCTTTTTGACGAGACGAAATTTCCCAGCATTATATACGGATTCACCGTGCAGGGTCTATCACGTTGCAGGGAGATAAGCTTTAACAGTGTCTGGGCCTTGGGTCCAACTATAGATTTAAGGAGCCCCACCAAATATCTATCTAATATCTATCTAACCAAAATTAAAAAAAAAACCTACGAGGGCGGCTTTCCAAATTTTTTCTGAGAATGAATTGATTTTAGTTCTGGTCAGGCCTAAGTCTTTTAGTAGGTTGGAGAGAAATTTAACGGCATACCATTCACTCTTCTACCGCATACAAATTTACGACGTACCTACTCTTAGTAAGTTCCTTAGTAAGCTCGTGCCTAATACTTATTGACTTTGACAGCATAGTCTATGGGATATTGGTTTTCCAAGGAACCGTAAGCTCTAATAACAAAACGAGCTTTATAATTCACAAAATTACAAAAAAATGTCTGGTCTGGACGCCGACGCACAAATATTCTTTCGGATTTTAAATTGTTTATTATCTATTTTTGTAGATTCGACAACTTTATCCTTACTTCCATATGCTTTCATACTTTCGTTCGGTTTATAAAAAATCCGCGCTCCTTGAGGTAACGTACATACGTCGATATGGGCCCAGGGTAAAGCCCCGAATGCAATATGTAGATACCGAGATGTTATGAGCATTCACTTGTACACGTGCTTACAGTATTGCAAATTTCATTTGTTTGGACACAAAATATATCAATGAATAATAAATTGTATTGCGATCGAATAAATATTAAGATTGCTTGTAGATTATAGCGAAACATTATAAACATACTATGATAGGTTTTCTTTTGAATTGACATGCCTGAAATGCACCCTCTTGCATGGTATTAAAGGCTGTGTATTTTGCGCATGTCATTTCGCATGCGCGTTTCATTCACCTCATGAACACTTAAATATAAACAAGCAAACAAAGTAAGAATTTATCTGAATATACATAAAAAGTTGTGGGAAGTGTATAACCCATTAATGTAAGTGCTTTTGTAACTGTTTATAACTTTGTTAAATATATTATTATATTTTTAATATGAGATCCCATATAATTCCTATATATCTTTGTACCTTTTTAAGCACAATTTTTTCAAGTATTTGCTTTATTATCATTATATATAGTGTCAATGTCCTGGTAACTCTGAAAATATAATTAATATTTCTTCGGTATTGTTTCATTAAATCTAAATCAGTGGACAAAGATAAGGAAAAACTCGTTGTAAGAATACAAGGATTACTCAGATATAAATAGTAATGATTATAATTTTCTGTTCTTCTTAAACTTATTTGTAGGAATTATTAAAAAAGATTGAGTATTTTATAATTATCATATAATCTACACTTCTTCAAACATTACTATTCTGTGTCTATACTTGAAGAATATATTCTGCACATGTCATCCATGGTTGTCAAAAATGGACAGAATGTGTCAGCTCATTTAGACACAAGTAGCATCACTGAAGTCATAATATTAGTACCTACTTACCAAACGCCAACAGTCAAATGTGTTATTAATTATTATAAATAGACGGATAGAGGCCTGGATTATTACATTTTTAAATAAATAATTTTTTAAGTATTTTGCTCATAGTAATTTGAGTAATTAATAAAATTAAATCTTAATTATCATATAGCATGGAATAAATATCCGACGGCGACTACTTTGGTTTAAAATTGTTAAAAAAGTGAAGAAGAACATACCGGCTTCAAATTTGTTTATCAAGTAAGCGGAATGGAAGATTTTGATATTTTAGAAAAGGCTTTAAAAAACCTTGAAGCTACTGAGGCATCAGAAGAAAAAGCCAGTAATTTTGAAAGTCTTTATAAAAATTGGGGAAAAAGTGGTAGCCAAGAAGAAAGAAGGAAGCAGTTATTAGAGAATCAGAAAGGGTATGTTATTTAGTGCTTATCGAACTATATCCTGCTAGATATTTAGTTGTTATAACAACATGCTATAGCATATTTTTAGTATTTATCACTGTAAGGTTATAACCATTACCAACTTTTTCGTTTTCTTTTCTTAATACAGGCAAAGGAAGAATAAAATCGATAATTTTCGTGGAATCTTGGATCTTGTAAATGCTGTTGAGGAAAACAAGCTCTTTAAACCATATAAAAAGGTAAATTGATTGATAATGGCCATAATGTTATTGAATATTATTTTAAAGTGTATAAAAATAGATACAAAATAAACTTTTCAGGTGCCATACAGGCCAAATATATATGTGTCTGGTTTTCACAAGACTTGTTTGACATATAGCAATGTTTTGATGTTGTCCGAGTGGATGATTGAAAAGCCGAATGATTTTGCCACCAATTGGTATGTGCTGCCATGTCCCAAAGGCATAAGGTTACTTGTTGTAGCTAATCATGTAAGTATTTTTTAAATAATTCAATTTTTCTGTACATAACTCATATTTAATATCACTTTTGCCATAGAAAGCCTTTCATATGAATTTGTTTTTATCAAATATTCCTTATTGCTCTTATTTTGATACTTTACTCCTTCTACCTGGCAATTTCCCAGCTATAGCCAGGGTCTGCAAAATTCTGTATTTTGATACTTTACTAGTTTATGATTATTATGATGTTTATTTAAGGGCACAACTAAGTTCTACACTAAGCGTGGGCAATTTAAGTTTGAGTGCAACACTGGTTTACCTGGAGGCAATCCTTATAACTACTACCGTAGGAACTGCTGTGTGTTAGACTGTTTCTATAATGAAAAAAATAACACAGTATACCTCATTGACATGCTTGCTTGGAATAATCAACCTATGACCGATGGAGAGGTATGGATTTTTTTTTAGTTATTTTTATAAGAGAAGTTATATAACTGTGTACATATTACTATATATAAAATATATGTTTTAAGTTTTAGCACAAAACACATGGAATATGTTATAACCACAATAATTTTCAAAATGTCTGCTAAAATCATGGAATAATTTGTCAGTGTTTCTGAAACAAACATTAAAAAACTGCCTTATTTATTACAATTATTTAAATTAACTGTTTTTGTTGTTTGTTTTATGTATACTCTCCTAAATGTATGCATATATTTTTCTTTTTATTTTAATGAGATAAATTATGATTACAGACAGAATTTAGACAATATTGGATGAAAACTCAACTTGAAGATTTCCCAGATACAAAAACAATCAATAAGAAAAATAAGGTTATTATAAAATTACTGCCCATGATGCCATGCACAACACACTTTCTTAGTTTGTGAGTATTTATTATTCATACTTTATTATAATTATAACTATTGATTTAAGAAACATTGGCTTTTGAGTCTGAAAGCTTTCTTAGGATTACAGCTATGTATGCATTTGCAAAAGTCATGAAGACTAACAAAATATTTATCATTATTTTAATTCATCATTGTCATAAAATTAATGATATTAACAGAGTCAAAATTAAAGCATAAGACATTGTCTTAAAATTCTGTATAATCTTCTTGCAATATTACTGGGAATATATTATTTGTTTAAATTCTTGAGTGAAGTCGAATAGAAATAAACTTCTTCATAAAATGGGCTATTGAATACTGAAATGTTTTATGAAATTGAATCTGTAACATAAACTAAATAATCACCACTTTATATTGTCAAAAGAAATGACAGTTTGCTTGAAATTTTTTATTTATGTAGCTGTTTTAGTAACTCATTGAAGTTTTTAAAACTTATGAGGCAGTATTTTTGGGGACATTATCTTAACAACCAAGGCTTTGATACTATCTACTTTAGTGTTTTTTTTCAAATACACTTTTATATAGATATATGTATATTAATTTGAAAAAATGTTGAGACAATATGTTTATACATATGAACAATATTTAATTTTTTCTTTATTAGCAATTAATAATACAAGTATTTTGTGTTTCAGTCTTTTAAGCACCTATCCACAGTTTGAAGATAACAATCCTCCTTTAGATGGTCTCCTATTCTATCACAAACGTGCTCACTATGTGGCCGGTGAGACACCTCTGGTTGGATGGCTTTACCCATATATGATACCTGAAGTACTTGGAGAAGGTATATTAAAAGTAGTACACTTTTAAAAATATAATTATTTACTTAATTTTGTTAGTATGCAACATATTTCAAGCAAATTAGACCTTTTATTACGAAAAATCATGAGCAAAACTTCAATTTGAACAATCTACTATGATTGTGAATAATTAATTTTTGTCACAGATTTTTAACTAAGTTATCATTAAATGTGTGATGTTGAAATTTTAAAATAATGATTTTTTATGTCTGTTACATAACCTTATTGTGTATTAATTATTAATTTCGTATTATTTGTAATTGGTTCTTAATTTCACAAAATTATTGCTAGAAGCTTGTAATATGATAGTTGTAGTGTATACTTGGAGATAAAAAAATCATAAATGTAAATTTTTTTTATATACATATGTTAAAATAAATAGTATTTAAAAATAAATTGTTATTAATAACAGATATAACGATGCATCCTGGATACATGTCTGAAAAACCGGATGATTATGTGAACCAGGCTGAGTTTATTAAGCAGTTTGAAGAGAAATTGTCGAAAAAGTACAGAAGATCAACCCAAACTAATGAAATGGAGATAGAAAGTAACAATGAGGTTAGTCCAGCCTAAATAACTTCATTATTCCATCAAGTAATTAAATAACTTCAAAGATTTTATTCTGCCTTGGAGACACATAATAAAGGTCTTATTGAAATAAAATGAAATAGTAAATGATATTTATAAAAATCAGAAGCAACTTATATAAGTGCTCCAAGTTCTTAATTGTTCAGTTAATTAAAAAAGTTTTTTTTTGTTATTAAAAGAAACTATTATGACTTTTTTGCTTTTCTAAGCACTAAGTATACAACTTACATCACTAAGATGTAATTAACTTCATCAGATTAAAGGGGTCTATGTAAATAGTTGTTATGCTGGCTGTTCTTATTGTGTGCTTTATTTGTTATGTGGAACAAGTTGCTGGAAGCTGAACAAACATTCTTTTTAAATCTGTGTTTTGACATATTCCAAAAGAATTTGAGAGAGTAATGGAATTTCAAATATTTAAAATATGCAATGTTATTAAATATAAACAATTTGTTATAGATGGAATCATCAGGAGGATCTCAAGTGAATGGTACCAAAGAAATAAAAAATCAAGAATCATTTGAGACACAGGATATAGAACTGGATATAGAAGAAAAATCTGATGATAAATAAATAACAGCACACATTATAACATAACTTGGAATGAATATACATATCTCTTTCTCACTCATTAGTTGGAGGAATGAGGGAAGAAGATGGTATGAAATGAAACAAGACCAGTATTTATTGACATGCGAAAAGAATTGCAGGACGGTTGAAAAAAAAATAATAATTCATATTACACTTCAAAGCTATTTGATCTATTATATGTTAGTTGTTCTTCTTTAATTACTTACAATGTGTAAGATTTAAAATATATTATTACAATTTTAAAAGCTTATTGTTTTGACAGTAGATGTTGAACTTCGCAATGTTCCACGCTTTTTATGAAATGTTACTGACTCAATAAATTCTACAAACCGTGAGGTCTTTTTTATTCGACATATATTTATTTTCACAGGCGATTTAGATTATGAGTTAAATTTTAGGCTTATTTGTAGGTTATTTTTATATTATTCATTGGTACGTTTTTACTTTTTTCTAACAATATGTCTATGTAGGTATAATTTGAGCGATTAAAAAATCAAAATGTGCCGAAAACAAAAACGTTAATTAATTTTATAAGTGATAAAAAGTCCAGTGTCGTTTATTTTGTAATATGTACCTAATAATGTACGATATTTATAATTTAGTTAATAATATATTGAAAGCTTATTTTTTCATTCAATTAATTAAAATGTTACCGTTAATTAATTATTTATTAGGTACCTAATAAGATGAAATCTTGACAATTATTTGCAGATCGTAAATTGGATGACGGTTCCGCACAATAATTAAGGGAGGGTCGTTAAATAGCTTAAGCGTTTTCACGGTGATTTATCATACATCCATAGACGTAAATTAATGTGGTTTGAGAATTTATTGTTCTCTATATAAACGTATCCAATGAATTTGTAACAATGTATTAGGTACCTAATATTATATAATGGGTAGGTATGTGAGATTCGGTAAGTTTTATATTCTCGTCATTAATTCGGTCAATCTGTTTTCTAGGTTTGGACCTCCAGTCAATACCCAAGGGTAATCCCTAGGTATCAAAATGACTTCTTATTATAGAAAGCCAATTCATGTGCAAAATCAGCAATAAGGTACGGTTCTTTGACACATTTACGTAATACCTCCCAAGACCTTTGGTCCCTTCCCTATAGGCATAAAAAGGAGACCAGGAATGTTCTCTGACAATCGTGACAAGCCAAAAGAAAGTCTAAAATGTTATTCTAAGTTTCTTGGCTAATTTATAAAAAAAGGCAACAGCTTATATGAACAATTTTTTACCGCTGTATCGGTCATATGTGCATGGCTCACCTACGTAATATTAACATCAATGATTCTTCTTCCTGAGCGTTAGATTTCGTAAATTATAGAGTTTCCATCACTTTTGTTTGTCCTTACCTTGTCGATATCTTTCCCGATACAAATCTGACTTTCTTAAATGTTGAATCTTTATTAATATTTGTGTTTATTATGGCGTCATGGGTTATTTATTTTTATCTGTGGGTTATAATTTGCTCCACCTTATTTGCCACATACTTACATTAAAAACATCTCTGTTGTGAAAATGTAAATGGCAAATCCTTAAGTGACTTCAGTTATAGTGTTGCTAAGTTTAATGAAGTTATTGTTCGTATTACTTAAACTAGTACGAATATTTCTTAAAGAGGTGAATGTAAAATGAATTAGGTACAAATAAAGACACGTGGGTACCAATAATGTTTATTCTACTATTAGGACGGCGCGTCGATTAAATGTTCCGAACAAAAAACGTACATAAAACCGGCATAAACGTCTCCTTTTACTTTATTGCCTGAAAGTCATTCACTTGCTGAAATATTGCGACGACGTCTTTAAAAAGTATTAAATGAAATATCTACTATGTAACAGACTGTGTTAAAAGCGTAGATTCGAATCTTGGTGATTCGTTTTTGATTCTTTATTATTTTTAACCGATTTGGAAAAAAATGTATGTAGTCTGTGTCAAGTTAATAAATTCATAAAGTTTCTAGGAACCGGCTTTCTAATTTTGTATACAGCTTGTCTGGTTTCAGGTGACTATAATAGAAAGTTGAATATTTCTTGAACTTTAAATAAACATACAAATGTTCTTGTTCCGTGGAGTGTAAACTAAGTTGTTTTGATAGGACAGGAAGCAAAAAAATACTTACGATATGAAAAATTTAAAGGGCTTGGGTTTCCAGCACTTTTGCTTACACAATGTATGCCAAAACACTACTGTCTTAAAGTTGAAAAAATGAAATTATTAGTATTTTTTTTTTATTTAGTTAAAATATATATTTTTTGATATATATAGTAAGGTAAAATTCTACATCAATAAAAAAATAATCTTAGAGTTACTTTTAGCTTACAAAGTTAAAAGTTTTTTTCTTACTTAATACTTCTATAAATCACATTGGTAGTTTATTAAACTTCAATTTTATCGTTATTTGATCTTTGTATCACCATTTATGGGACTTTGAAAGAAATGGACTATTTTCTCTGAAAGAAAATCAAACAACATAGATATTTATTTGTTTTTTTTTTAATTTATATTTCATAATAAAATTAATTTAGAAGAAGGAACCTTATATATAATTCGATATTTCGAAAATTTTTATTTCACGTTATTCATTTCAATTTATCGGTAACTTTTACTTGATTTTTATACATAAAATAAAAATTTGAAAGTTTTTTTACTTCGATACCTAAATTTTATCAAAGCAGTAGTAATATGAAAAAATACCCCAATTTATTTTATTTCAGTCTTTATTTTTTGGATGTATTTGATGTTTAAATAAGATATTTAGAAAACTTTACTGTTCGAACAGTAAAATCCAGTAACAAAGGTCTTTTGGTAGTAGGTACTTTGTAAAAGGTAAGTTTAACAAAGAAATGTGCGAGTAAGCACTACTGTTTGTTAAATCGACTACGTTCTCGTAAATTTCTTTTATTGGACCCGAACCCAGTTCTGGCGTTCTTTCAATTAGTTTCACTGCTGTAAAACCCAACATATGAGGAAATATTATTGACAACTTTATTAACCTTATACTTATTACGAAACTCTGTATTACACATAATATATAAATGTATGTATTCGTATATCAAAACCAAATTAACTTTTGCATTGACATCATACATATCAAATAAATTTTTTACAATTATCTTTCCATTTTTTACGAATAATTTTTATTGAGCAAACAGTTGGAGACAGTAATGGACCAATGAATATAAATTATTGCATCACGACAGAATATTTGTATACAGTTACGTGCAAAAATATGGAACATTTTGAACGCCATTCTACTCCATTTTTATGTTTATTTTACCGGAACAATGTTTGATTGTTAAATACATAACTGAGAGAGGAAGTGGAGCAGAACGTTTTGCCTGTCAACCACATCAACATACAGGAAATCGGTGTGCAGTGAATGCTCACTACTTTACTATTTTAATGTAAGATGTTTTCTTTTCGTCTTGGTACGTCAACTAAAATTTTATTATTTGTAATGTTATTTTCTATGAACCATTAAAAATATTATACATAAATTTCATTAAATATCTTTTTTTGGCTTATAAATGATTTATATCTGAAATGATTAAATTCTCCTACTGTTTTAAAAACTATAAAACGTAAACAATATACAAGAGAAGATAATTAAAACACTCAATATTGGTGTTTTACCGTATTCTTGGCGAGTCAAGGTATAGTTGAGATATAATAAGTTTGGGAGGCAAAATCTTTTTAGAAACGGAATAGTTTCAATAGATTCTGGTTGACAGCCAGTATTTATATTATTTACAATCATAACTACTTTCATTTAAATTCTTCTTTTACTAATAATTTTAAATATATATTCATATCAAAAGTTACTGTTCATTGTATAGTGTAGGTACTCTACTTGAAAATGTTACTATGTTTTATGGAGTGCGTTCACAATTATATTATTTATTTCAAAGTAATTCATGTATTTGATTCGGAGGTAACAAATTGAAAAAGTTCCAACTGTAAAATAAAAACTAGATCTTGTGAAGGATATATGAACTCCGATACAAAGGTTAAAATAGATGTAAAATTTATCATCATGCCTAAGAGCATGCTTGATTTAACTATGAACTATGTAGTTACGACACGATATTTCCATAATTTAGGTTCGGTTCCTATTTGATTTAATTTATTTATTAATATTGAACATCTGCCAGGATTCATTTTTGTTATTTTTGTAGTAAAGTTTCAGCAGTAACTCTATTGATAGGCGAATGGAATTTTTTTTTAGTTTAGTTTCGTTATTCTATTCAAGCCGTTATTTTGTTCTGTTAGCAAAATTTTGATAAAAGAGGATAATATTTATAATTTTTAATAAAACTCTTTTATTATCATTAGATATTATTTTGTAAGAAAATGAAATATAACCGTTTACATGTCATTGCTATAGAACTTAACAGGCGTAATAAATGTAATTGCAATTCACTGGCAAGGAAAATTGCAACACCTACTATTGCAAAGCAATCTGACACTGCTATATTTTTATTTAGATCACTCGATACTTCCGCTACATTTTAGTTTCAAATATAATTAAATGTTAAAAAATAGCATGTTTTTAAATAATTTTAAAATTTTATTAATTTCAACCATTATATTTAGAATTCAAGCGAGTAGGTATCCACCCACAAGTATGTTATACTAATAAGTATATGATATTGTTATAGAAAATAAATTGGTATTTGGGGTTTATCCAACAAAATCATTTTCTAATGAGAAACAACGTAGATAACGACGAAGAGACCCTCATTAGCACTCCAGATAAGCGCTTCATTCCAAACTTACTCTAGACTATAGAGTAACTTTAATTAATATGCTTTATATACATGTACTTATGTGTAATGCAATCAATGACATCAATAATGTTTTAGAAGTCTTGAGTTATAAACATGTCAATTTAGCTAAATCAAAATTGCTATCCATCTAAAGTATCTTTCATTTTATGCTTGCTATAATAATTGTGGAATTCTTATATTAA